CTAACTATTAAGGCCCCTATACTACAGACCGGCAGCCCGAAAACAAACAAGCTGGAATGGTCCTAGTGCCAGCAGGCGGCCGCCAAGGCTGCATTGAAGGACACCAAGTCTGGGTTTAGCTCGGCGTCCTGCCACAAATTTCGCTAAGACCTTTTCTTAGAGAAACGATACATAACATAATCTTCTCAGCATTTTCTACATACTTATAATCTCAAGTGGACAGGGCCTGTCCTCCATTGCAGATAATATGTCCAGAGCGATCCTCGGATTTCAAGATCTAATCGCGTGGGCGGGTGGCGAAATTCTAGCATCGACGCGAATGATGAGGAATTGGGGTTCGACTTCGATTCTCGAAATCCTTCGCTGGAAGAGCTGCAATCTACGGGCTGCTACAAAGGAAGGGAAGGTTGATTCCATGAGTAGTGGAGAGCTTCATCCAGCTCATACGACAACCAACATACCAAATGGCTCCATTGAAAGCACGGTCTTGTTAATGCGGTGAGCCCTTTAAAATGCTCGACTTCAGGATGTGCCACTCCCAATCTCCAGCCGCTCCGCAGGTCGAGATGGCAGCGGCAAACACCATTGCAGATGGCTCGGCAACCTGCAAGGCATTCCAGAGAACTCTGAGCGAATGACAATCAGAGCCATAATCACAATCATGATATAACGAGATAAGATGAATATATATATATATATGAATATACTGCCCGGAAGACGGTCAGGGAACTGCCGGAAGCTCCTCCCCTGCTCTCGTCACAACTCTTCTGTCCATGGCATTTAGCCTCATATATACATGTGTATATATATATATGTAGTTCTGGTTTCCCCAAACACAGACACACCAACATGAGTGTTAGACACATGCACAATTGTTACAGAGCCTGATTTGGCGATTTGGAGTCAACGCTGGCAACCAAATCTCAACATTGCATTACATCTCCAAATCAAGGTACCCTCTACCCTCTACGTGCACTTTCTGGCCTCAGCAAAAACACGCATCGCCGTAGCAGGATCTCCACCTGAGGCTGGCCAAAGGCAAAATGGCAAGTGCCTCCAAACACCAAAACCAAAACCTTAAGCTCTACACCCTATAAGCCCTTTTTTCACAGGCTTGATTGGAG